TTTTGATTGAAGTAATGATATTTGAAATATGAAGGCTTTGATCGTTTGATATATTCTTGCGAATCAATTACCAGTTGTTCACTACTTGTGCCAAACAAAGCACATCACTATTAGTGGATGAGTTGAGGCGTGAAGTCTACGTTCAGACTTTCAACAAAATAACAAAAATAGTATAACTTTTTTCCCAAAAAATGAAACTTTAATTTTAAAGCCTAACAAAAATCAATTGCAGTATTATTGTATGAGATAGTTGTCTGGCAATTGTTTGCTTAAATTACGATATTATTTACTTTTTAATAAAATATTGGTAAACATTTTGTAGAAAATTGCTTTTAATGCGAACACGAGTTTTACTTAAATTTTGAAAAATAGCAAAACATTTTTCATTTTTAAATAATAAATTGTTATTTTGATATTTTTTGTTTGTTTCCGAAAATCTCTTTGTTTTTTGCGACAAAATTGTTGTTTTTGTTTTGTATCCAAAATTAAAACTTTTTCAATTAATTTAAATGAATTTTGAGAATTAAAATTCTACTCTTGTTTTATAAATGGGATTTATATTTAGCGCACAAATCAGTTTCATAATTGTTTTTTGTATATAACAATATAAAAAAGTTTTGTTGCATTAAATAGTTTATTATAATAAGTAAAGTTTATATAAAGTTTATAAAATTTATTCGCTTTTTATTTATGCACATTTATAAAACAAAAATAATTATAAAAACATTAATATATGTTAAGTAATGAAAACTATGGTATATCTCACTGAAAACCCAATTTTTATTTATTAATCGTTTATTTATTTATTGTGTTGTATATATTAATAAAACATATCGTGAAATATCTATTAAACGTGATAAAACCTAGTATTTTAGCTTTGATTTAACCATTATATTAAAGCAATGAGAAAGCTTTTATAATAAATTTTCAACAAATAACTAATTAATGTTTATATATTGATTAAACTCGTTGTATTGAACAGCATATTAACTACGATCTCACAAAATAATATGTGTGAAAAACGAGTTGTTTGAAACCATAAATAAATTATTGCATAAAAAATCTTGTGTCAAATCTTTCGCAGTGTATATAAAACTCCGAAGTCTTGAGAAATATATTTTTCACTTATAATTAAAATATCAAACCAAAGCCCTTAAGGTATAGTGAATTTCTATGTTATGTAATGACAATTTGATGTGTGTTTAGTGTTTTGACAGTTTTCTTGTTTCTAGTGATACACTGCTTATCACTATTAATACCATTTTATTATAAAAGTGTAATTTTATTCATTTATTTCTTATATAATAACATGAGATTATCACAGGTCTGTCACACATTTCTTATCGCAGTATCTTTTTATATACGATAACATAATTACTTATTTAATTATATAATTTAATAATAAATGTGCAAATATTTTAGTGTATTTCAGTAATTTACTATATTATTAATTAGAATAAATAATACAGATAAAATGGGCATGTTCACTAAATAATATAAAATTAATTGCTATATTTAGAAATAAATATTTTGATGGGTTTAACTGAAAACAAATTATTTAATTCTTACTATTAAATCACAATTTGACATAATTTATAAGACAGATATTAATCCTAACATTATTTACAAATAATGAATTACTAATGTTTTCGGCAAACGTTTTGCAAATAATAGAAAAGTTAAAAAGACTTTATTAAGTAATAATCTTTTTTTTATGCATTACATTAAGTCTCTGATTATCGGGTCTTCAGAAGTGCAGAGAATATCTCAATATTTAAAGTTTTGATTAATAACTGAATAGAAATTTGAGCGAAGAATTCAGTTTATGTTTCGATGAATATAATAGTTGTAGAGAAGAGCCCTGAGGTTAGTGTCAGTTATGAATAAACCTATCAAATGATGTTCTGATCCCTAATCAAAGAATTTAAATATTAGCCAAAGATTCACTGCAGAGGATAAAGCGTAGAGAGAGAGAGAGAGAGAGAGAGAGAGAGAGAGAGAGAGAGAGAGAGAGAGAGAGAGAGAGANAGAGAGAGAGAGAGAGAGAGAGAGAGAGAGAGAGATGAATGAAATGGCAAAATAAGTGAACTTTGTTTATGAGGTTTGTTTTCTCGATGTTAGTGTTGTTGTGGTAGAGGTTAGCGAACCCGTGCTCTTTGTGGGCAACAGTGCGCTATTGAGTTGACTTCAATTGCATTCAATTGCCTTCTTTACAACTTTCGCTCAAATATGCCATTTATTATGATATGGACTATAGTTTGTACACTATTTACAGATCCCTTCCTCTTAAACATTCCTTTGCTTTGAAGGCAGTGTTGGAAACGAATCACGCAATCAATGAAACCATTGCTCTAATGATCACTCATACGGAAGATATAAGTTACTGACTTTGCCATCATTTTTCTCGCCCGTACTCCTCATTATCTCACCATTTCTTGTAAACACATTAATCTCACAAAATATATACTTTTGAACACTCATTGACAGATGATATTTAAAAAACACTGACTTTAATTCTATGTGATTAAAGAATTACTCGATTTTCATATTAAAACTCAATCAAAAATAAGGCTTTTAATCCAATTATCATATAATACAACATAAAATTATTTCTATAAAATTATAACCTCTTTTGTTCTAAAATGATTTGTGATAAACTCGTCATAAGTTTGATGTCAAAAACAATGATAATTATTACTATTTTGTTACTCTAATTAAATTTCATATGTAATTTTGTACAGAAGTATAATCTCTATGAAAGTGGTCTCAACTCATAACCGTTTTGTTGGCTAACAATGCGGTCGTTGGCCTTATTTAGTGGTAATTCAAAATGGGTTTAGAAAGTGTTAGGATTAATGATAAATACGAAACGTGTAATAATGATTGTTCAGTCGATCACTACTCCACACAACAAGTGTATCTCAATAGACGTCGGAAAGTGAATCCATTGTCACCGAGAAATAATACACTCAATTCACATCAGTATTATAGCGGTTCACATATCACTGCCTCCAACCTATCCAACAGCACTGATAGCAACGCTACTAATTATAACTATCTGTGGAAAGTCTGTAAAGAAAGGGGTATTCTCTTCGAAGGTATTTTGCAAAACAACAACAAAATTTGAGAAAATTTACTCAATTGTAACTAATGTAGTATTTTTTGATCCATAATATGATTTCAAAGATCCATATTTTCCGGCAAACAATAAGGCTTTATTAGGCAAAAGAGAGTCGTCTAATGGGAATAAACTATTATCATCGGTGGTATGGATGCGTCCCTTTCAACTGGTGTCCCGACCCAAGTATATCACTGAATACAACCCAAACCGACGTTTTGATGTAGAGTTGGGCGACGCCTCTAATTTGGTGGTCAGCTGTCAGTCCCTGTTTCACGCGACCAGTATTTTATACTCGGCTCCCAAACTATTTGATCGAGTTATCAATCCGTTGCAAACATTCAATCCGACTAATTATGCGGGCATTTGGCGGTTCAGGTTCTGGAAGTTTGGCCAATGGGTCGATGTTGTCATCGGTTTGTTCGCTCTTTTATTTAATTTCTTATAATTCATAATAATATCGCAGACATTAACACACAAAAAATATTTAATTTATTCATAAGGTATTAATCACTATACTATACGCAAAGATTAAATAGTTTTCTAACATAACGTTAATATCTAATGCATTTAAAAGTAATTTTTGCTTTTGGTTTTTAAACCACTTTTACGAAAAGTAAATTTATAATTATAATGATTATTACAATAATAATATACATGATATGCCAGATGACAGACTGCCCACATTCAAGGGTCGACTCATTTACATGCAGTGTTCAGATCCGTCTGAATTCTGGGCCGCGCTCTTAGAGAAAGCTTACGCTAAACTATACGGTAGTTATGATTATTATCTCAAGTAAGGCTAACAGTCGATTACGTGAGGCTAGACTTAGTTGTGATTAATTAAATTCATTGTTATCTCATATCAGGTATTGTTTCACTGCACAAACCACTCAAGACCTGACGGGAGGCATCGCTCAGGTAATTACAATGTGAACACATATTTTGTTAGACTCGTTAAAAAGTGTGTTAATTTGCGGTTTAATTGATACAAAATAAAGAGCTTCACAATAGCCAGTCATGAGAGACATATCATTCATCAAATGATCGCTTCCGCAGTTCCGCGTTCAACACTATTGTCCGTTTGTGTCAATACAGGCGATGCCAACAACTCTTCGAATAAATCATTTCGGTTGAGGAATGGATTGTTTACTCAACAATCATATATCATAACCGGATTAACTCGCGTCCGAACTCTAGCCTTTGATGACATTCAAACGGTGGCTAATAATAGTAATTATACAACAAATCACTTCCCAATTCACGGCAATCATCCCTTCGCACAATCACACAATGCATCCGATAATGATGTGATTGAAGTGCTTTTGGTTAGACTCAGGAATGTCTGCTGCAGAGGAGAGTGGAATGGAGGTAACACTCTGTCCATCACTATTATTATTATCCACAAAATGCCCCCCATTTTCAAATAGTTTCAATAATCATACAAATTGCGAAATACAGTATTAACAGTTAGTACCGGTATATAATCATTATATGCTGTACAATGTACATTAATGGCAATAGTTTTTAAATTACTTTTCATTTACTAAAGGGTAAAATATAATGTTTTGGATGTTATAATAAAACAAACAAATCTATTCAGTAATTATAATGAATGGCAGGAATAATCTATAGTTGGAGACGATTTACAGTTATGTTTGTTTATTGTATTTTTCTTCTCGGAATTTAATGATTGTATGAAACTATTGAGTCTTAAGTTATTTGCCATAAAAAGTAAACATATTTTTTTATTATCGAAAGAAAAGTTAACATAAAATTTTTCATTTGATGTAATGGTAAAAGCGTGGAGTGAAAGGTCCTTAGAATGGGATCATCTGAGCGATAGAGACAGAGAAGAGTTGACTATTAGGTGCAGAACTGAAGGCGAATTTTGGATCTCTTTCGATGACTTACTCAACAACTTTACAAATCTGGATCTCATTCATATCGGGCCCGACGACTGGATGCAGGTTTGCAGCTATTATTACACTTAAAACAAAGATATTTTATAAGATATGAAAATTAAAAAGCAAAATATTTGTGTTGATTAGGAAATGTCATTGCATCACAAAAGACCATGGTATGTTTGATAAGCCATATCGCGTGTCATACAAGTGTTAAAGATTACAATGTATTTGTATGCATAGGAGGGCTGTATTGGCACGAAGAAAGTGGAAGAAGGGATTCAATGCGGGCGGCGGTCCGTCACATAAGGAGACGTTTCACACAAACCCTCAGTTTCATATACACATCCCTAAGAGTGGACCAAATAAACTTCATGTCGTCGTCTCAGTCACGCAATTATACGATACAAACACAGAATCACAAGACTTTCATTTGCAAAGTATAGGCTTCTGTGTGTTTGAAGTGCCGCCCAATACTATACGCCTGAGTCAGGCGTTTGTGGCGAATAACGCTCCGTTGGATATCACAGACTTCACGGCCACTCGAGAATCGGTCACATTCTTTACGTTACCTTCCGGTGACTTCATTATAGTGCCGACGACTGATAAACCCAACTGCGAGACAAAGTTTCTCTTGAGATTATTCACTGATGAGAGCACTAATATATGGGAAGTCAATGACGACAACATTATCTTTGCCTTAGATTCACAAATACCCAAAATCGTTGAATCTATAGCTCAGGTATAATGAGATCTTTTTGAGGTATTATTGCAAACAATTTCATTGTATTTATAAATTACATGAACACAGAATGGAAGTAATATAATGACAAGACTTATGACAAAACTTCCACAAGAGTTGGACGCATATATTCTGCTTAAAGTACTTAAGATTTATTGCAAACGTATGTTTTAAATAATTAATTGCTTAAAGATATTCCGTTTAATTGACACATAAATTCAATTATGTTCACAGCATTTAACATACTATACGAGAAGCCAAGTCTGGAGTTGTGTCGCTATTTAGTTATGTTAAGGGATCCGACGATAACCGGCAAAATATCTGTCAAGAATGTGATCACAATTCTTAATATTCTGCACTTTTGGAGATCAATATTTACAAAACACCAAATCGGCAGTAAAAACAAAATATATTGTCATAATCTCCGCAATCTATTATACGAATCGGGTTTGTATTTACTATGTTGTTATCAATCGTGTAAATTATTAATATGTGACTTTTACAATGAATTCAGAAAAGGCTTAATAAATGCAATCAACAAATTATTTGATTATTAATTGAGTTGAGATAACAATTTTCACACATAAAGATTGTTTTATTATTTTTATTACAAACTTAATTATAATCAGGAAATATTTATTCTAAGCTTTCATTATATTAAACTATTGAAATTCAAATGAAGTGATAACATTATTTAAAGTGTATTAACTCAATGTGAGTACAGTTACTGTATTCATAAATGCATAAATAGATAAAGGTTAGTCTCCCACTAAAAAATCCCCATTACTTCCAAACCATTCCCTAGCAATTGAAAAGTCAAGCCATTATACGAATCAGACCTTTAGGTCATATCACATCACTTGTCAAATGTTTTACAATAATAGACATGTAATGTGGAAAATAATTGATTGCAAAACTCTTTCATCAGGAATATCGGTGTCCAACAAAGTGTTGGAAACTTTGTTGATTCGCTACTCAGACAACTCAACGTATCTAACATTGGAGTCTTTCATTCAATCTCTGGTCAAATTGCATCTCTCACACGGTCTCAAAACTCTTTCTTTATCTATTGTATTGTAGATTATAGTTATTTTTCTGTATACTGTACTACAAAAGTGATTATACTTTACATCGAATTAAATATTTAGTTTATAAGTTATGCTTAAAATTATATTTCATTTGAACAGAACGTTACAAATCATTGGAAAGAAAAGGAAAACATAATAGCATTACATTAGAAGAGGTATGAAATTTGAATGTAAAATAAATATCTACTGTATTATCACTTATTAATTGTATTTCTTTTTTAGATGATCCTATCGACAGTTTATTCATAATTTATTTACAAATCCATTTATTTAAATAACATAATGTAATGCAAACATTATATTCTTTTCATTAAATAAATTTTATTTATATATTGTTTTTAAATGAATTTCATTTAATAACGCAAATAACTTTAAAATATTTTTGTAATCTTTGATTTATAAGAAAGTATCAAATGTCTAACAATGATAAAAATGTTGATAAAAATTAAATTTATAATTCATTTCTTATAACAAAAATGAAAGCGTTATTCTCTAAGAACCAAATAATGTGCTATTATTTTACAAAACAGATATAATTTTATTTGTTTTTAGACTATGAAGGTCGTTTTGGTAAAATACTTAATTCCTAAATCCCGTACAACAATATATAAATAGTCTTTCAATCGTGTTTTCTCTTCAATTAAATCATTTTCTTTGTTAAACATTTCAAAAGCAATAATCATTTTCTATGACATGACTTAAGTCTGTGACCTCTCATTGCATTGAAATGCAATTAAATCTAATACTGTATCTAATATTGAATAATGTTAATCGCCGTAACAAATACCTGTCCAGAAGGTCATCGAGTCTTCTCTTTCTTAAAGATGAAAACAAATTGTTTTGCTTTTCTATTACAATATAATGTCATAGAAATACTGCAAATCCACGTAATAAAGACATTAGCATTTATAATATCTTTTGTTTATAATATCCTCAATGTTCACGAATTGGACTTAAATGTTAACTTATATTAAATTATATATATTGTAGTCGTAAATAAGTTATAAGAATAAATTTATTATATATTATTATGAAATACAAGTTTTTGTTAAATTTAAAAATATTGAGCGTTTTAAGCCTTTATTAAATAATGTGAATTTAAAGCTTAAATTTGATAGAAAGTACAACAAATGAATTCTGAATCAAATAAAATAGTTAATTAATTGTCTATTTGTCTGATAAGTGATTTTTTTGTGGCGATTTTTTTTAATGAATTAACAATTAATACAGTATTCATTTGTGACCACATTTTATGAATCACAGATTTGTTCTTTTATTTTCTCTTTCCCTTCTGAAAGTTCCTTTTGTTGTAATGCTTCTAATGGTTCCAATGGTTCTAATGTCTCCAATGGTGGTAAAGATTGCAATGTTTGTGATGGTTCTAAAAGCACTTTCTGCACCTCTTCTTCTGTCACTACTTTTTCGGTATTATTGTTTGTCTTTTCGTTCACTTCCTTAGGATTTGACGTTTTCTTTGTTTCCGTCGATAGCTTTGTTTTGTGTTCACTCTTGCGATCATTTGAATGATTATTTTTAAGGAGATTAAAACCGAGCGCTCGCCTCAACTTTTTCCAGAAGATCTCTTGATCTCTTTGACTGGTATTCCACTGCAAATAGATTCGTGTTTTGAGCAGAAAGTAGAGCTGTGGGGCCACTACTGAGGCGTCGATGTCCTCCAACTTAATCATAATGAGTCCGCCGTCTCTATTCTGGTCGACGAGTGTATTGTGAGCCAAATCGGTCTCAAACCTACACCAGGGACTCCTCACAAAGTGGTTAGAGATGACTAAAATCACTTTACGCGACGTCTTTATGCTCTCCAAAATGCATTCACTGATCGGACGGCCGGCTATGAAATCCCGATCGTAGACACAGAGCTTCACGCGATTCATATCATTGCTATTATTCTCGATGTTTGGCACCAATTGTTTGAAAACCCATTCGGAATCGTTTACGTTATACGAGACAAACGCGTCGTACATATAGTCTAATGAATCGTTGTCTATACCGTAGATGAATGTCCTGATTGTCGAGTGATATACAAAAGCGATGATCAAAACAATTAACGATAGGAGTAGTAATAGGGACGCGACGGCACTCAAGACGGCTAAACTAACGCGAGTCTCGTAACGCATTTCCTTACAGCTGGCGATGAATGTATTTAAACTCACTTTTAAACCATTCAAATGACAGTAATATTGTGTCTTAGAGTGGAGTGGAGTTCTGTCCGACAGATAGCGGACACTGACGGACGTGTCGTTCAGCCAATCGGCCACTATCTGGGAATTGCAGTCACACATCAATGGATTGAATGCGAAACTTAAGTTCTTGAGACGATGGAAGTCCTCTAACATACTGGACGTCAAATGCGATATCAGATTGTGACTGATGTCTAAAGTTGTGATGTATTTGTTTTTGGCAAATATAGTAAAGTTAGTCCACGAAGTGATACTATTGTGAGAGAGATTCACTTCTTGTAATTCAGTGAAGTTGAGGAATGTATTGGAAGAAATGCGATCAATTAGGTTATGGCTAACGTCCAGAAGCTTCACCTGTTCGTGGATTCGTTTGAATATATTTTCCTCGTCATTGATATCACGAGAGGTGAGATTACATGAAGACATGCGAACCATTTCGACCGCTTCCAGACCAAAGAACGAGTCCTCGTGTGTATCCCTAAGAGTGGATATGAGTTCTTCGTTTTCACTCAAATCGATATAAACGGTTGATTTTAAGGGAAAGAAAGTGAGATATTCAACAAATTTTAGACCACATCCTCTTAAGTGGAAGTTTTGCATTTTGAAGAGTCCTAAGAACGCGTTTCGCGGCAACGGATCCAATATCTTGTACGAGAGATTAACTTCTTTGAGATTAGTGCCCACAAAAGTCTTGTGCGGTATTTCCAGACGATTCCTATTCTCCTTATATCCCGATAAGTCTAAGTATTGAAGTTTTTGCAGATTATATATGAAATTATTCGGAATAGTCCTCAAGTAATTGCCTCTAAGACTCAATCTCTCCAAACCCTCTAATGTCTGAAAGGAGTTCTCTTCGATGTACTCTAATTCACTGAATTCAATGAATAACGCCTTGAGAT